GTCCGTCATTCCCCCTCCCTATTTTTTGCCTGCCTCTGCTAATAATGCCAGTACACCTCACTTTTACTTTCCCATGGCGAAATTCACCAGATCCCAGCCCACAACTCTGTCATTAGTGACGCAAGCTGCAGTGCTCACCATGGGTTATATGCACAGGACTTTAATTTTCAGTAAGCTAACTCGAGCACTTTCGGTGAACTGTCATGCTATTGTTAATTGCCGCATTTAAGATTTAAGATTTTTACTGCCTGATTGAAATATGATATAAGTGGGTCTCAGGCCTGAAAAAGAAGCACTGCAATAAAGTCCATTTATTTACTCCATGTCATTAAGTGTGATTTATTTATGAACTAATTTCGAGAAGAGCATGTGCTTATGATTGCACACGGCTGGTCCAGCATTAGCTTATACAATATCCACTAATCAGTCTATTACTAACTCACCATGAATAACCAGAAATTCTTACCTCAATATCTTCATTTTAGAGAATCTCCCCTTCCACCCCTACTCCTACTTCTTTTCTAGACAGGGTAGCATGGCAGCCCAATGGTTAGCACTGTTGCCTTACAGCAAGAAGGCTTACCAGACCAGTCGACGTTTCTGTGCGGAGTTTACATGTTCTTGTGCGTTTGTGGGTTTTCCCTGGGTTCCAGCCACAGTCCAAAGACATGAGCCATAGATGAATTGACCAAACCAAATTGGCACTATAGATGAGTCCATCGCATATTTCCACATCTATTCATAATTTGCCATTCATAAGGGGAGGGATTGGGGGGTTCTTGAGATCTACCAGAGCTTAAACTTCCTTCTCACCCTTCTTTCGGGAGGAAGCCCCAGGCTCAAGGATCTTTTAAGTTCAGAGCTTTCGTCCAGGAGAGCATACCAAACAAGCTTTAATACCAATAATCAGCTAAAGGTGAACTCTCAAAATATGCACAATTTATTTTCCTATGGTACTTTCAGTGGAGATTCAGCACTCCATGTCAGTTGGTGTGAAACACTTCGCAACATACCTTGATCCTTCAGTAAGAGACACACAGTGTTAGTGTAACGGAGGCCAGCTAGTAAGTGCTGTGCAGGAACCTCACTCCTCTGACCTCTAAAGGTGCTCTAGCGGCAGACGCCAGAGCCCATGGACTTTAGCCTCCTTGATAGAGCAACCAACTTCCATGCGGAAGGTTGCCGGTTCGATTCCAGCTCGTAGTTGGTTGGGTGGCATAGGACTGGCGGGGTTACATTGGTGCCATGACCCGGATGGGAGTGAGTTTTAGGTGGTGAGTGTAACAGAGGCCAGTTAGTAAGTGCTGTGCAGGTATACCTCACACCTCTGACTTGTAAAGGTGCTCTAGCGATGAACGCTATAGGCTATGGTCTTTAGCCTCCTTGTTAGAGCAACCGACTCCCATGCGGAAGGTCGCCGGCTCGATCCCAGCTCGGAGCGGGTTGGGTGGTGTAGGACCGGCGGAGTTACTTTGGCATACTGTTTGTTATTGTTTTTCTCGAGTTGGTTTGATCCAAAGGGATGGGGCATGGAGTATAAAAGAGAGCTCAACCTCAAACTGCTCAAACTGTGCCTGTTTGTCTCAGAGAGTAGGCTGTGGTTGTAGAAATGTGTGTGGATAAACGTTTTTGGTTAAATGTAATTCATCTAATTTCTTCCAATATAGAATCTTGAGAATAAAATTGACAGATTTCTGAAGAATGAACTTGAGAAGTTTAAGAAGATCTTACAAGAAGAAAACAGACAAGACTTTGTAAAGAACTTTAATGACAACAGATGCAGAATCACAGAAGCAGCTCTTGATCTCACACTCTTCTTCCTGAGAGATATGAAGCAAGATGAAGTTGCTGATACTCTCCAGGGTAAGAGACTCATGACCGTCAGTTTGTCACTTACAAATATAGCTGGAAAAGTCAAGACTAAACCTATCTGTTTCTTTGCTCCTGTGTTTAGGTGAGCTGTTCTTCATTAACCAGTTAAAATGTAGCATGAAGAAGAAATATCAAAGTGTGTTTGAAGGAAATGCTCAGTAAGGAGACTCCACACTTCTGAATAAGATCTACACAGATCTCTACATCACTCAGGGTGCGAGTGAACAGGTCAACACTGAACATGAGATCAGACAGATTGAAGCTGCTTCCAGACGTCATCAGTCACTAGAGATACAGGTTGAATGCAAACATTTGTTTGAAGCAGCTGAACAAGACGAGCAGATCAGAACTGTCCTGACAAAAGGAGTTGCTGGCATCGGGAAATCAGTCTCTGTGCAAAAGTTTGTTCTGGATTGGGCTGAAGGGAAAGAAAATCAAGACATCAGCTTCATATTTCCTCTTCCATTCAGAGAGATGAACTTAAAGGAGAAAGAAAGACAAAGTTTAAAAGACCTCATAACTCAGTTTTTCCCAGAGACTAAAGGACTGAACCTTACAAGAAGCACACGATTCAAAGTCCTGTTCATCCTTGATGGATTGGATGAATGTCGTCTTCCTCTGAACTTTGCTGGTAATGAGACGTGTCGTGATGTATCTTCAGCAGTCTCTCTGGATGTTCTCCTGACGAACCTCATCAAGGGAAATCTGCTTCCTTCTGCTTTCATCTGGATCACCAGCAGACCAGCAGCTGCCAGTAAGATTCCTGCTGACTGTATCGACCGGCTGACAGAGATACGAGGATTCAATGATGCCCAAAAGGAGGAGTACTTCAGAAAGAGACTCACAGATCAGAATCAGGCCAGAGAAATCATTGATCACATTAAACAGTCAAAGAGTCTCTTTATTATGTGCCACATCCCAGTCTTCTGCTGGATTTCAGCCACTGTTCTCCAAAATGTATTGACGGAGAAAAGAAATATTTAACTGAAAAACAGAACCTGTGCCGAAACACTGCAGGAATCTCCCAAGAGTCTGACACAAATGTACATACACTTTCTGTGCTTTCAGACAGAAACAATGTGATCTTCTATGAGAGCGATCTGAAAGACTGTGGCATTGACGTCTATAAGGCATCGGTGTACTCTGGCATGTGTACCCAGATCTTTAAGAAGGATAAAGGAATCATTCTTGGTACCATGTACTGCTTTCTTCACTTGAGCATTCAGGAGTTCATTGCAGTTTTTAAACCCTCATCTAGAATTTGATTGTCACAAACCATAGTGACAACACCGATGACTGCTGTAAAGATATGTAATATTATGAAATAATATTGTATATAATATCTGATATGTAATACCAGACTGTTTATTAGTCATTTCAAATTATGTGTGTAAAGGTTTTGTACTGAAAGGGATACTTACTGAAAATGGAGGATTTAGACAAGTGTCAACTTAAAAACCATTTTAATTTAACTTACTTATTCTTTTAGTTCTGCATCATTCCCTTTTAAATAAAACTTTGTGACTTGTACTTGATGATCTTGCTACTTTTTGTAATGCAATTTCACCTTTGATTATGTAGGTAAAGTGTGTCTTAGTAGTTTTTTAAAATCATGCTTATCAGTAATATGCAATGGGTAACATGTACATTTCATCCACAGCTAATGTGTGCAACACATGACCCAACATGTTATAATATTCGTATGTAATAATGTCTTTTTGGTTAAATGTTAAATCTTGGTCGTTTTTTCTGGTCTCTGAGAATCAGTATGGCCTTTCGATCAAATGCAGAGTGCTGTTGGGCTATGGGGGTAGCCATGTTCGGTTTTGTAGTGCCACTATCTAGCCTTGACAAAAAAGAAGCACCTGCCTGTAGCTTACTAGCAATACTCAGATCTTGACTGGATTGTTCAAGTGTGCATGCTAAAGGTTCTGCAGGATTTTGGCTCTCCTTGACCAAACTTGCTTACTCTTGCCTTATGTATACCACTCAGATTCTTCTTGGTACTGACAGTACAAGTTCATGACCAACTCTCCTAAGATGATCTCTTTAAACACCTTGACCTTTAATACAGAATTCTGCTCAACTTGGCTCAACAGAGTCCTACAAATGTGCTCAAGAGTGTTAAGGCTTGTTTTTTCACTGTTGAAGGGGTAAATATACTGTAGTCATAGATGAAAACACAGGCAATGAGGAGAGAGTACAATCTTCTGATTCAGAATTTTTGAATTACATCACAGTGCTGTGCAAATAAATGACAGCGTAGCATTGATAAAGCACAACTCTCAAACCCTCAGCTGTCAAAAATCCCAATATAAGAACTTTTTATTAATATATTTTACTGGTTCTTCGCCTTAATTAGAGAAGACAGTGGAGTGGAGACAGGAAATGCATGAGGCTGAGAGCTGGAAAGGATCGTCAAAAGACCTGCAGCCAGGAATTGAACTCTGGTCACCATGAGCATTTCGGTACCTAATGTCAATGCACTTAACCACTAGGCCAGGGGCCACCAAACTTGTACCTGGAGGGCTGGTGTCCTGCAGATTTTAGCTTTAACCCTAATTAAATGCACCTGAATAAGCTAATCAAGGTCTTACTAGGTATACTTAAAACACCAAAACAGGTGTGTTGAGACAAGTTGGAGCTAAACCCTGCAAGCCACCAGACCTCCAGGAACGAGACTGGTGACCCCTGCACTAGGTTATTGGTGCCAGAAGCATATCAAGACCTCATGGTGCCCCTGGGCAACAAGCTTACAGGTGCCCCCAGTTTTTTGTGAAATGGCTAGGGTTAACTTAATGTTACTTAACTACTGGCGTCCTAGTGACCATGTAAATTTTTGGATTTAGATTTTTTTTCCATATTTGATTATCTTTTTTGGCATTAAGACCATATGGTTAAAGTTCAGCAGATCTTTTTCCTCAAGAAAAGTAGTTTTTTTTTAGTCTTCAAGGTTCAAGTCAGGGGTCACCAAATTTGGTCCTGGAGGGATGGTATCCTGCAGAGTTTAGCTTCAACTCTAATCAAACACCCCTGAAGGAGCTAATCAAAGTTTTAATAGGTATACTTGTAGGTTCCATACTGGCATGTTGAGGCAGGTTAAACTTAACACTGTCAAACCAAGTCTGGTGACCCTTGGTTTAAGGTAACAATCAATCTTGAGTTAGGAAACCTCCTTGAAGACATTAAGTGTTTTTGTCTTTCTCTCCTCAGACCTGATGCCACTGAAAAGGGAGATTCAAGAATATCTGATTGAGAACCATAACGACTTCATACCTACAGAAAGTGAATTCATTTGCTCGCAGACTATGATGAGCTCACAAAAGGCTGCTCAAAAAGCAAAGACCGCACATCCTCTCAAATGCGACCAGTGCGGAAGAGGTTTCACTAAAAAAGGACACCTCAGAAACCACATGAGGACTCACAATGGAGAGAGCTCTTTCACCTGCCAACAGTGTGGAAAAGGTTTCACTCAAAAGTCAAACCTCAGAAACCACATCAAAATTCATATTGCGAAAAACGCTTTGACCTGCCAACAGTGTGGCAAATCTTTCAGTCATAAAGACTACCTTAAACGACACATGAGAGTTCACACTATAGAGACTTCTCACACGTGCCCTCAATGCGGAAAGAGTTTTGCAGACGAATCGATATGTATCGCCCACATGAGGAGTCACACTGGAGAAAAACCATTTGTGTGTGATCAGTGTGGGAAGAGCTACACAAGTCGGAGTAACCTTAAATACCACATGAATGTTCATGCAAATGAGAACAGTTTTATGTGCCATCACTGCGGAGTGCGTTTCAGAAGAAGCGCTCAACTGAAGAAACATGTAGAAACCCACATCGAACTGGTGCCTTTAATGTGTCGTCAGTGTGGAAAAACGTTCTCAACAAAAGAAAACCTCGAAGTTCACATGAGAAACCACTCTAAGGAAAGACCTTACACCTGTCAACAGTGCGGGAAGCGTTTCATCCGGAACGCAAGTCTTAAAGAGCACATGATAATTCACACCGGAGAGAAGCCACACATCTGCCAACATTGCGGGAAAAGCTTCTTTCGAAAAGCATACCTTGATATCCACATAAGGGTTCACACCGGAGAGAAACCGTACACCTGCCAAGATTGTGGAAAGAGTTTCATCCGAAAAGCACACCTCAATACCCACGCGAAAGTTCACAGTGGGGAGAAACCTTACAGTTGTGAACTTTGCGGGAAGACCTCCTATCGGAAAGAAGACATTAAAAGGCACATGAGAGTTCACACCGGAGAGAGGCCTTATCGCTGCTCCAAGTGTGGAAAGGGCTTCACATGTACAAGAAGCTTAAGGAGGCACACAAAAATCCACCTACTGTAGAAATCAGGCAGCAGTCTAATTAATAATCATGGATACCCTCAGCAGAGAGAGAACCCTTTCATGAAGCGCAAAGGAAAAGTGTCCCTCTAAACCAGGCATGTCCAAACTCGGTCCTGGAGCGCCGGTGTCCTGCAGAGTTTAGTTCCAACCCTAATCAAACACACCTGGGCTAGCTAATCAAGCTCTTACTAGGCAGTCTAGAAACATCCTTGCAGGTGTGTCGAGGCAAGTTGGTGCTAAAATCTGCGGGACACCGGCCCTCCAGCACCAAGTTTGGACACCCCTGCTCTAAACAAAGAATCTCAGGCACCAAAGGAACCTGAAAAGCATTGATTCAATCATTTCCTTCTTATTAGTCCCTTATTTATTAGGGGTCGCCACAGCAGAATGAAGCATCAATTATTTAGGCATCTGTTTTACACAGTGGATGCCCTGCCGGCCGCAACCCAGTTCTGGGAAACACCCATACACTCTCAGATTTCCCAACACATTCATACACTATGGCCTACGACTGTCGGGGAAATCGGAGCACTCGAAGGAAACCCATGACAACGATGGAAGAACATACATACTCCACACAGGAATGACTCAAACCAGCGACCTTCCTGCTGTGAGGCGCTGAACCACCGTGTCACCCACATCAAAACATTATAGGAGTTTAAACAATTTCAGAAATATACTGCTGATCTACCCTCTTCATCAGTGTATCACTCCGCCCGCAGAGAGTACCAAACAGAGGACCAGAGTCACTATAGACTGACAATTACCGCCGCTGTTAGACCACAATGTATATTTGATACTTTTAGGCGGTAATGTAGTTGCTTAGACTGTAAATATGCCGTTTATTTACAGGTACAGCGTCTATTATAAAATGTGTTTAGAAGATTTTGGAAGTGGGACTTCTAGCATGTCGGTGTCCTACCTTGTCAGATTGTCCTACCTCCCATTCAAAAGGTAGGCAGCACATTTTGATGATGCAATATGCCACCCATCTGATTTTGCCACCAGTGTAGGTTTGAATGTGGAGTAGTGTGATATGAAGCTATAATGTCACCCTAATCCCCCAACCTCAGAGTCTTTTCAAATACAGTGTTGGGCGCATGATCTGATGGGTGGGATACAACGTCAGGACACCGCAGACACTTATTGAAGCCTTGGATGTGTGTCTGTACAGTAGTCTGTTGTGTAGTGTAATGTGTTTAGGCTATATCTAAAGGCAGTGTTTGGTCACTTATCTGTTATTTACGCTAGAGCAAATAGATTTCACTGCAATGTTAAGTTTTACAGCTTACACTTGAAAACTTGGTCGTTGCTCTGTAGACTGATTTACGTAGCATCTTTAAACTATTGTGTTAGTGTTATTGTGCAATTAGTGACATTTAATATGAACTGCAGTGATATTTAATAATAAAAATGCTTTGTATTACAAACTGCAGCATTGAGTGTGATTGGCAGGAGGAATGTGAAGGGAGCAAACTATTTCCTCAGGACATTTTAAACTACAGCTGAAACAGGGTTGGACTAAAATAAATGAAAGTTTACTGGAAAATAAATACTAAATAACACAAATTTAAGTGTTTAAAAATAGACAATAAAATACAGCAGCCATGTGTAACATGTATTACATGTCTGAAAAGCTCCAGAAGTGTATATTTCTGTTGCACTATATATATATATATATATATATATATATATATATATATATATATATATATATATATATATATATATATATTATTTAAAAACTGACATGCATTAACAGAATTGTTTTCTTAGGCTGTTCTAAAACACATAAAAAACCATTCATGTTCACAAATATTGAAGACGCACCCTACTGTCAGGAGAATCTCATGAATATTCATGTCAGCGCCACTAATATTTCAGGATATACCTGTAGATCACACAGGTGTGTTTTAGTGAAGTGAAAGAGTGAAAGAGCTCAGATTGTGTTCCTGCTGCACAAGAGCGTCTGTACTTTGCTGGTAAGTTTAATATTTCTACTTTTACGCTGATTTGTGGAGATGATGAAGGGTTTATATGTGTGAGTGTGATTTAAATGTCTGATCCTGAAAATTAAATCCTCAAACTTTGATTAAACAAACTTTTGATTTTTGTCAAAACAGTCATTTAAACTTAAACTTAAAACTTTAATTTTAATTCCTTGAAAATGTTTGTACTCTTCTATATCAGGGTGACTTGATCATTTCAGATCATTCAGCACAAAAGATAATTTTAAACATTGGGAGTTTCGAACTCGAAAGTAAAGTTAAACCAGATGTTCCAGTTGAACAGGAAGAAACTGCTGAAAAACAACAAGCTGATGTTTCTTATACAATCTGCATTTAACCCTTAACTGCCAGCTTGACGCGCTTTTAGTACTAACTAAATAAAGACATAAAAAGTTATGACAAAATATTTAATCTTATTTTATTGGTTTGCTTTGAGTATTCTTAAAGAGATCTCTCAGATTTAATCTCTAATACCCGTTTTACCTTCCTCAAATATTCTATTAACACACTTGTGCTCAGAGAAACTGTATGAATATTTTCAGCTGCAGTGGTTTGGGTGTTGTTTTGATGACTCGTCCACAGGCATTAATATTTCAGGATATACCTGCAGTAGTGTTGTCAAAAATATAGGTATTTCGAAATGCAATGATACTGGATTATTTTAAACAATAATGTTTTGCTTTTGGTTGGTATCGATAGCGGCTTTGGTCTCTTGAGGGTTGATACACACTGCACATGAGCACAGTCTATCAGTCCTACAATGTAATCTGATGAATGGCTGAAGGGTAAATGCCTGTAAGCCTTTTCTAGTGCTTCTGGAATCTTTGTTTTCTGCTCTGAATTTAATCTGACTCCAATTTTAAGTGACAACTGAATTTAGACTATTTCTGATTATAAACAGGTCACATTTGTCGTTTATGAATCAATTTAGAGTTATGATTTATATCTGCTATATCCTATACTCTTCAATTATACATTCAAATTGGGACCAAATGCCACTTAGAGTTTCATGTCCAGAGTATACGTGTTTCTCACAGACTTGATCTCAATGTTCTGAAGTTAGTCAGAGGATGCAGGGGTAACTAATACCTCATAGTCTGGTTGCCTCCTGCTCACTTGTGTTAAGTTTATTTAGTTATTTCCACACAACTTGCTACTCTTAGTGATTAACCAGAAATTAAAAGGTCTGCCGTACCTCCTGCTCCATACAGTCATATGTGCTTAAAAATCTATAAAATCCTGTCACAACCAGTGATGTAAAGTAAACAATTACAAATACTCAAACTACTGTAATTAAGTATTTTTTCTTTAAATATTGTAATTAACTAAGTTATTATATATATATATATATATATATATATATATATATATATATATATATATATATATATATATATATATATGTAATTTTACTTTACCTTGAGAACATGTTTAGTGCAGTATCGGTACTTTTACTCCACTACTGTCCTTCAACCTGCAATCACTACATTATTTTCTTTTGTCTATGGGGGATATCCAGTCCAATCACATCACATATAGAAGGTAAATCACATCATTATGAACTACCTCAAGACATGGGCGATTTAGAATTACATCAAACTATTTGGAAGCATTAAAATTATCCAAGAAGATGTCCAAAGTCTTTACACACATTGACCCAGAGACCGTTTAGATAATGTCACTGATGAGAAGATGGTGGATGATTACTGTATAATGTTCGAAATGGCCTTCAACATCCAGCAGACACAAGACATCAACATGACATTAGATTGACGTTGTACCTCAATGTTGTAGGAACATTGTATTTTGTTTGCACCTCTGGATCCAATTCTCTCACACTGTTACGCACCGTCTAGGGATGGTGCACAACATGAAAGACAAGACAACAAAATGAATTCAAAGATTTATTGGGGTTTGAATTCGGGAGCTGACAAGGCCAAAATAACAAACAAAAATTCCTTTATATTACATCTCTAACTTACCTGATCACAAATAAAAGAAAAGAAAGTACAATTCACTTCCCTAACTACCTAACACAAAAACAGAGGCAAAAAGGTTTTACAAAGAAAATGGCGTCAAACTCCTTACTATCCCAATATATACACTATTTACAATCTATTTACAAAAACAGGCAACCATATTTGAAGGACAATCCAAAATCAATGTCAGCAGGCAACAAAGGTCAAACAAGCCGGTGGAACAAAGTATCATAAACAAAGCAAACACTAAAACAAACAGTACTCACAATTCTCAATATAATCTCAGAACTCAAACAAAACAAACAGTACTCACAAATCTCAATATTCTCTCAGAAGTCAAACAAAGCAAACAGTACTCACAAATCTCAATACTCTCAGTCCTAACACATCCAAAAACTCTGCACTATACCACAATCAAACATTTCAACAAACACAAGCAAGTGACCAAAAACAAGATGGCTGCCAAGGAAGTGGTGTCATGGCTTTTTAAAACACTGTAGGCCAATCAGGGTCAAGCAAGCTGGAAGTGGCCAATTGGATGTGTTCTAAGCAAAACAGGAACAAGAAAAAAAAAAGATGAGACAAGACAAACATAGGATTGTAACACCCCCACACATAAGTGTAAACATGGTTACAAGTTTACAAATGTGATCTAGACAATGAATCTGCAATTATATTGTCAGTACCTTTCTTGTATTTAATTTGTAAATTAAAACTTTGACAAATGAGAGCCCACCGCATCAGTCTTTGATTTTTGTTACACATTTGCTGAAGAAACACAAGTGGGTTGTGGTCAGTAAATACTTCAATGGGTTTTGGACTGGATCCGACATATACTTCAAAATGTTGCAATGCTAACAAAAGAGCTAGTGCTTCTTTTTCAATGGTACTGTAATTAACCTGATGACGATTGAATTTTTTAGAATAGAAACACACAGGATGGTCGATTCCTTGTTCATCTTCTTGTAGCAGGACAGCACCAGCCCCCGTACCACTGGCATCCACTTCAAGTTTAAAAGGTCGGGTGAAGTCTGGGGCAACTAAAACAGGAGCATTACACAACAAATTTTTAAGACATTCAAAGGCAAATTCACACTTAGAGTTCCAGCTGAAGGGTACATCTTTGCGAAGGTTATCAGTTAGAGGTTTTACAACATCAGAAAAGTTTTTACAGAAATTTCTGTAATAACCAGCCATTCCAAGGAACCGCCTGAGGTCTCTTTTAGTTTTGGGCACAGGAAACTCAACAATTGCCTGAACTTTAGCCCCTAGAGGGCGAACAGTACCATGACCAACTTCTTTTCCCAAGTATGTTACAGTGGCATGACAGAACTCACATTTAGCTAAATTAAGAGTAAGATTAGCTGCTTGAAGTCTTGAAAACACTTCCTCCAGTGTTTGTAGGTGATTACCCCATGTATCTGAGTAGCATACCACATCATCTAGATATGCTTCACAATTTCTTACATTAGCCAATACTTTATTTATCAAGCGTTGAAAAGTAGCTGGAGCGTTTTTAAGGCCAAAAGCTAGAACTTTGTATTGTAAAAAGGAGTCTGGGGTGGCAAAGGCTGAGATTTCAGAAGCACGCTCCGTGAGCGGCACCTGCCAGTATCCTTTAAGCAAGTCTAACTTGGTCACAAATTTAGCACTTCCAATGCGATCAATGCAATCCTCCATTCTGGGAAGAGGGTAGGAATCGGATTTGGTTAATTGATTCACCTTTCGGTAATCTGTGCAAAAGCGGTAAGTTCCATCAGGTTTTGGAACCAACAAACATGGAGAACACCAGGGACTACAGCTTGGCTCTTCCAAACCATTCTTAACTAGATACTGGGTTTCTTTTTTCATTATTTCACGCTTGACTGGATTCACACGGTAAGCATTCTGCTTTACTGGACGATGGTCACCAACATCAATGTCATGCATCAACACACTAGTCACAGTTGGGACATCTGAGAAAATACTAGAATACTTGTCAATTAAGTGTACAAGCTCACTTTGAGATGAACTTGGCAAATGGGAAAGTTTTGAGGCAAGAGATTCTAAAGTTTCAGAATTTTGCAATTTAGCACCAGAAAGATAAGCACTTCCTAAATGAAGATCATCTAGGCAAGGAGAATACTCTGGAGAAACCACATCTATGGATGTTACAACAGCAGGAGTTACCACCGGAGAACTGACAGAGTCTTTACAATCAGGGCGAGAGACATACAATTTAAGCATATTGATGTGGCATATCCGAGTCTTTCTTCTTCTTTCAGGAGTTTGTACGACATAATCAGTTTCACTTAATTTTTCCTCAATCACATAAGGGCCTGTGAATTTTGCTTGTAGAGCAGAGCCGGGTAAAGGCTGCAATACCAGAACTTGATCACCAACCTTAAATGAGCGTTGGACGTATTTCTTATCATATCTGCTTTTCATTCTGGACT